GAACTGATGAAGACAGAATTTGATAAAATACAAACTTGGTTTAAACTTAATAAATTATCATTAAATTAAGATAAAACTAAATACATGATATTTAGTAACAAAAGATAACTGTTGATGATCATTTAAAATTGAGGGTGTTGAGATTTGTAGAGTTAATGAGATGAAATTTTTGGGTGTAATCATTGATGAACAGCTAACATGGAAAAATCACATAAATTCTGTAAGAACAAAAATATCTAAATCTATTTCAGTACTATACAAAGTCAGGGAATTATTAAATGATAAAGCTCTGTACATGTTGTATAACACAATCATTGTTCCACATTTAATCTATTGCATTGATGTTTGGGGGAAAGCATGTAAAACATTTACAAAACCAATTTTTATTTTACAGAAAAGAGCTGTAAGAATTATCACCAGAAAGCATTACAGTCACCCATCAAGCACATTATTTTATCAACTGAAGTTATTGAAGTTCCATGATTTGGTAGATTATAGTATTTTATCAGTTATGTATAGGGCTCAAAATAACACATTACCATTAAATATCCAAATAAATTTTGTTAAAAAACAAAGTTGTTATAATCTTAAGGGGATAGAAATATTTGTCAAACCAAAATTCAAAACTAGTCTGAAGGGAAGGTCTACCTCAATCCAAGGAGTTGGATTGTGGAATGTTCTAGAGAGTGATGTGAAAAATGCCAAGTCAATGTGTACATTTAAGAAAAAGATCAAAACTGAATTGTTAAAAAAATATATATGAAGTAGCTTAGTGTGTGTTTTGTATTAGAATTAGAAAAATTAGAAAGAGTTATTAATTTTGTTCTGTTACTTGAAAATTATTATGTCTGAAATAATTGTTTGATAAAAGGGGCAGATATAATAAGATTTTTTCTTCTTTCTGCTGCCTTTCATTTTAAATCTTTTGTATCCTTTTTTTATATTGTTATGGAATTGTTTTGTACTTTTTTAAAATGAATAAACTATATACCATACCATTTCAGACTTCTTTTCATTGAAACTCAAGAAGTTTAAAGCCATCCAATCCCTGATGTCAGCCAGGCAGTCGAGCAGAGGTTGAATAAAGCATGTGCCATTGTGCCTTGGGGGAAGTAAATTTGACAGTCATCGGCATAGAAGTGGAAGGGCATGTTGTGTTTCCGGAAAATAGCACCAAGCGGCAGCAGGTATAAAGAGAATAGGAGGGGACTCAGGATGGACCCCTGCGGAACCCCCCATTTAAGCTCTGCCTCTGCGGAACTAAAATCCTTGATGGAGACACAAAAGATCTGTCAGTGAGGTAAGATCTGAACCAATTGAGGGCTGACCCTGTGGCGCCCACCCACTGCTCCAACCTAGCAATGAGGATCTCATGGTCGATGGTGTCAAAGGCAGCTGTGAGGTCCAACAGGACAAGCAGCACAGAAACACCAGTATCTGTGAATCTGAAGATGTCATTAAAGACCTTCAGCAGGGCAGTTTCAGTGCTGTGGAGAGGTTTAAAGCCAGATTGGAAAAGCTCTAAGATGGCGTGATCCTCCAGGAAGCACTTCAACTGGGACTTGACTATTTTCTCCAGTACTTTAGAAACAAATGGAGTTTGGAGACAGGCCGGAAGTTGGAAACGACTGAGGGGTCAAGGTTTGGTTTTTTCAGGAGAGGCTGGACAGCAGCATGTTTAAAGGATTTTGGCACCACGCCAGTGGATAAACTACTGTTTACTATGGCAAGAATGGACAGACCTAGAGTTGGAAACACCTCCTTTAGTAGACGAGGGGGGACCACATCAAAGGGGGAACCAGAAAGTTTCAAGTTGCACATGACCTGCTCTAGAGAAGAGTGATGGGTTCAAAATGGTCAAATGGAGCTACAGATTGAGGTGGGATGGATGGGTCATGAGTTGGAGGGGAAATGAGAGCCCTGGTGGTCGCAATTTTTCCAAAAAGAAATGTAGGAAGTTGTCGCACAGCTCAGTTGAGGCTTCCAGAGGTGATGGTTCAGTGAGGTGGAGAACAGAGTTTAGGGTGGAGAAGAGGACATGTGGGTTGTGAGAGTTTGAGGTAATTATATCAGAGAAGAATTTTGATTTAGCAGCTTTTACTGCTTTCCGATAACGGCGCCAACTCTCTTTAAGTATTTGAAAAGAGGGGTACGCTGATAAAGGTCCAAATAAGCGACATCAGTGACAGAAAAACGAAGATCCAGAAGCTGTTGTCGGTCATACATGAGGAGTGAATTTATGCCACAGATAAAAAAACGAACAAAACAGAAATAGTCCGAACACCATCAGCAGAGGTGGATTGCAAGCCGTGCACACGGGCATCATCTTACCGGAAGTTGGAGAAAGAGAAGAGGCTTCAGAACATCTTGGCAACAGGCAAAGCATCCACACCTGAACCTCTAAAGACAACTGCAGGTCGTGAACCAGAAACATCAGAGGAGGTCGAGCGCCATCAAGATGGTAAGACTGACGCCACAGAGATGGTAGAAAACCTCAGAGTTAACAAATTAACCGTAACCAAAGAAAATGGTTTTCAACTCAATTCAGTTTATTTATAAAGCGCCAAGTCACAACAGAAGTCGTCTCAGGACACTGAACAGAAACATTCACATATAAAAAGAACAAGTTAATACTATTTATCTGAGGAGCAGACTGGGAGTGCTGGCACAGAGGTCAGAGAAGGTGGGCCTGTGATTGGAAGCTTGCTGGGTCAACTCCTGGTACTGACAGCATCAAAATGTGGGTGGGATGAAGCACCCACACCTGCCTCCACCCTCATTTGCCCCACACAAGACCCTTGAGCAAGGCCCTTAACCCCCACCATCTGGATGTCCTAGATAGCAGCTCTCTGCTCCACACAGAGGGCTGTGGTAGCTCGGTGGTCTGTGGTTGCATCAGGAAGGGCATCCGGCGTAAAAATAGTCAAGTCTTCATGCGAGTTAGTTCACTGTGACGACCTCTGAAGAAGGGAGCGGTCGAAAGGAAAAAAAATCTGAGAAGCAGATGCTTTGAGTTTAACTTCATCAAAGACTCTTGTCTTGAGCAAGCACGAAGGCGACAGTGGGAAGGAAAAACTGCCTTATGAGGAACCCTCCAGCAGAACCAGGCTCAGGACAAGTGGTCATCCATATAAATAAAGTTTTTTGAATTGAATTGAATTGAAAAATGGCAGAATCTGTATTTTATGTGGGTGCATGTGAAAGCACCATTAGTCTATAAAGCTGTCTGCAGGTTTTACGTATAATTTGTGATGTTAAGACTTCACAGATGACGTCTTTTGTTCAGCAGAACAGTACCAAGACACATTTAATATAAAACTGCAATGCTGTGACTAAATAAAACAAGTCCAGATGCTGAACTGGACTGTCTCCAGTCCAGGTCTGACACCTCTGAAAACATTCAAACAAAAAAACAAACAAAAACCAACTTGATTATTTCAAAAGAAATTTCAAAGGGTGCCAGAGCAGCGACTCTGAACAGGTTTGTGGTGTAAAAACATCAAAAGTAATAACAAAAAAGGTTAAATCGTTTCATCTGGACCATTTTCTTTAAGGGAGAAACGTTTCGTCTTCCATCCAGAGGACTTCATCAGTCTGTGGCCTGCCAACCAGATCTGTCCCATAAGTAGCCGTCACTGCTGAGTTTCAAGACAAGCTCCTGTTGGAACCTCACAAGCTTATAACACATGACGGACCCATGTGTCCTTTTGACCGGTGGGTCCTTTGGCATGTGTCCCCTGTACTGCCTGCTTCTGAGAGTCCAACAGGAAGTTGGCTTGAAACACACAAAGACTTGGCAATTATTTTTACGCCGGATGTCCTTCCTGACACAACCACAGACCACCGAGCTACCACAGCCCTCTGTGTGGAGCAGAGAGCTGCATCTAGTGCACCTGGGGGAGCAGGTGGT